ATGGGCTATGGTGAGCCCGTAGTGGACTTACCTGGCACAGGAGCGGGGCAAGTAGCACGGGCTATGGTGAGCCCGTAGTGGACTTACCTGGCACAGGAGCAGGGCAAGTAGCACGGGCTATGGTGAGCCCGTAGTGGACTTACCTGGCACAGGAGCGGGGCAAGTAGCACGGGCTATGGTGAGCCCGTAGTGGACTTACCTGGCACAGGAGCGGGGCATTGTAGGAAGATCAGAGGGTGGCGGCTGCTCACTCCTCTCCCAGCGAGGATTATAAGTATTGCCGGAACAAAGATGGGACATCTTCAAAAAGCCATTAGATAAGTTTCTACGAAAAGTGCCGGACCAACCACGCCCCCCCATGACCCACTCTCCAGGTAATGGGGTAAGGGATCGCAATGAATGGGGACTGCATGGGGTGTAGTGAATAGGGGAGCTGCAGGTTTCGTAATGAAAGTGGGGGAGAGTTTCAAGGGTCGTAGTGAATAGGGTGTGGCTGTGTATTGATGGTAGGGTAGTGGAAGGGTGTGGCTTTATCTTGGACAGGTGACCATGATCCCATAATTACAGAGGTGGTCCTGATGGATCAGTTGGTACAGTGCTATGCCACTGGAAGGTCACTACACGCTGCTGTCACCGTTGTGTAACTGGACATTGATTGATTGATGAAGATTAAGCCACCCAAAAGGTGGCACGGGCATGAATAGCCCGTAAGTGGTGCCCCTTTTGAGCCATTACCAGTATCAAGAGATGATACTGGAGATCTGTGGAGGTGCGACTGCACCCTGCGTGACGGGAGATGTCTCCCGTGGTAACTGGACACTTGTATCAGTGGGAGTTTAAGAACATTAGAACAAAGGCAACTGCAGAAGGCCTATTGGCCCATACGAGGCAGCTCCTATTTAGAGTTTACAGGTGGGGTCTTTGTTGACCAGACCAGACACTAGAAAGTGAAGGGACGACGACGTTTCGGTCCTGGATCATTCACAATCGACTCGAGAATGGTCCAGGATGGACCGAAACCTCGTCGTCCCTTCACTATCTAATGTGTGGTTTGGTCAACATTTCAGCCACGTTATTGTGACTCCTCGTCTGTAGGCGTCACAAGGAGTGGCTGAAATATGTTGACCAAACCACACATTAGATAGTGAAGGGACGACAACGTTTCGGTCCGTCCTGGACCATTCCTTCTAGACACGGCCAGATGTCGCTAATCAATTACGTATTTTTTTGTTAATTTATTAATTGATCGCCTTTTCATTCCCTATACAGTCGAGAGTCGTTGCATCTGGACCTTAGATTAGCTACCGGTATATGCCATTATATCAGGCATATACTGGTATACATATATACCAGTATACATATATACCAGTATATGCGAACAAGCCTTACGGTCTCCAGGCAACTGAAAACTCGCACCCCAGAAGTGACTCGAACCCATACTGCCAGGAGCACTCTGCATCTGGCGTACAGGACACCTTAACCACTCGACCAACACGACCGGACAAAAGAGAATGGTAGCCGAGGCTAATTCTCTAGTATATCTTCTCAGGTCACTCACCTCACACACGTGACCCCCAGGAGGGTGTCATGTCACTCTACACACCTGACTCAAGGAGGGTGTAGTCACTCGCTCCAAACACCCTCGCTAACCTCTCGTTACCATCACAAAACACAATTTCTACTCACACGCGAGAAACTGCTCCTGGTGTTATTTTTATGATAATCCTTCACGAGGCGATTCCCACCTCCACCCCTCACACACACACACACACACACACACACACACACACACACACACACACACACACACACACACACACACACACACACACACACACACACACACACGTGGGGCCTCGTAGCCTGGTGGATAGCGCGCAGGATTCGTAATTCTGTGGCGCGGGTTCGATTCCCGCACGAGGCAGAAACAAATGGGCAGAGTTTCTTTCACCCTGAATGCCCCTGTTACCTAGCAGTAAATAGGTACCTGGGAGTTAGTCAGCTGTCACGGGCTGCTTCCTGGGGTGTGTGTGTGTGTGTGTGTGGTGTGGGGAAAAAAAAAAATAGTAGTTAGTAAATAGTTGATTGGCAGTTGAGAGGCGGGCCGAAAGAGCAAAGCTCAACCCCCGTAAAAACACAACTAGTAAACACACACAAACAAAATCCTGCACTCACTCACTCACTCACTCACTCACTCACTCACTCACTCACTCACTCACTCACTCACTCACTCACTCACACTACACACACCGTGAGTGAACGACTTGTAATACGAGTAAAATGACGTTCTCTCAAAGTGAGCGAAAGAATATTTCTTGCGTGTGTAAATTTGTAAGGGAACCGGACCCAATATGTACATGGAACGCGATAGGAGACCCTGTCAGTGGCCCTAATATTGAGGTGGAGAAACTTACATACACACACACTGCTACAAGAGACCTTGGGCCAGATTCACGAAAGCAGTTACGCAAGTACTTACGAACGTGTACATCTTTCCTCAATCTTTGACGGCTTTGGTTACATTTATTCAACAGTTTACAAGCAGTAAAACTTGCCTATCAACTGTTGTTATTGTTATAAACAGCCTCCTGGTGCTTCGGAGCTCATTAACTGTTTAATAATTGTAAACAAAGCCGCCAAAGATTGAGATGTACAGGTTCGTAAGTGCTTGCGTGAATCGGGACCCTTGTTAGAGGCCCTAACATAGATGTGAAAGTTAGCAGAAGTAGCATTGGTGCTAGCTAACCTGGTTTCCATGATGTATTGTGATGTTTTGAACTGATTGAATTTTCTAGTTTCTAGACGAGCATACGAGAAAAGGTTTTAAGGTTTATTTCAAATGTCAAAGAATAATTTTAACGTAGGAAAAACTAATGTTAATTGCTGTTGTAATGAAATAATTATTATTAATTGTTGAAGTAAATATATATAACATTTTGACCAAACTACACACACTAGAAAGTGAAGGGGACGACGACGTTTCGGTCCGTCCTGGACCATTCTCAAGTCGATTTTTTTGACTTGAGAATGGTCCAGGACGGACCGAAACGTCGTCGTCGCTTCACATTCTAGTGTGTGGTCTGGTCAACATACTTCAGCCACGTTCTTGTGACAACACGCCTGCATATATAACATTTGATGAATTAGAGCACAACAAAACTTTCACATGTCTAACCTGTATCAAAAACAATCGTGCTAAGGTCTATGTTGCAGACGTTTGGGCAGGGTTTAGCATTTGATTTTGAGCAAGGGGGGGGAGGGGGATGGAAATGTAATAGCGGAAATGTAACCAAAAAAAAAAGAAATGTTGCCAAACCTGTTTCGGGTCTTTGTTAAGAAAAGAAGTCTGGAGAGAAAGTAGTAGATTTCAAGATTACAGATAATTCGATCGACAAGGAAGGAAACTCGAGAAAGGGAAGGTTGAGAGAGATTGGGTGAGGATTGGGGGGTGGGGGGGGGGGGTTATGGAGAGTCCTCGGCCGTGGACAAAGAGCCGAGGTGATTGTGGTCAAAGAGGAGGTGATTGTGGTGAAGTATAGAGCACAATTACCGTATAGTGAGGGACGTTGTGAGGGAGGGAGGGGGGAAGAGTAGAGGCCAGCCGCTCCTCTACCATGGTAGAGGTAGAGTTCTCTCGATTATGACAAACCTTCAATCAAATCCTTCAATCAGTGGGGCCTCGTAGCCTGGTGGATAGCGCGCAGGACTCGTAATTCTGTGGCGCGGGTTCGATTCCCGCACGAGGCAGAAACAAATGGGCAAAGTTTCTTTCACCCTGAATGTCCCTGTTACCTAGCAGTAAATAGGTACCTGGGAGTTAGTCAGCTGTCACGGGCTGCTTCCTGGGGGTGGAGGCCTGGTCGAGGACCGGGCCGCGGGGACACTAAAGCCCCGAAATCATCTCAAGATAACCTCAAGAACCTCAAGAAATCAAACCACTAATCTCACTCTACTCGGATCCGCCTCGAGTACTGCTCGGAACTCGCTTCACCCTTCCGAGCAGAAGAGGTTGCTGAAACTTGAGGAGAAGAGAGAGTTACTGCACGCATACACACGATAAACCACCTAAATTTTTGGCTTTCTCAAACCTCTCAAAATGTACTCTCTCGTCTCCTCCTTTCTAGAGAGAGAGGGAGGATTCTTCACATGTATTTCAGCATGTATGGGTTTCCTATAGATAAATATTGTCATAGTTCCTTTCCTACGTCCTCTGGGGACCTCTACCCCCATTTTATCGTCCAATTATCGTCCCCCTACCTTCTTACACCCCCTACCTTCCCATCTAACACCCCCCCACCCCATCTTAAGGTAAGGTAACCCTCCACTCCCCAGGTAGGCTGGTTTGTTTCACCTTGAGAATGCTTGAGTTTTTAGTGCACAATAGGCTTGGCTTACATCATGTTGTTTTCAAATTTAGCTAATCAGAACGAAGTGTCTTATGTAGCACGGGCTATGGTGAGCCCGTAATTGGCTTACATACCCCAGGTGCTGAAGTAGGCCTGGTCTTTCCCTGCTATTCGGGTAGGCCTAGAAGCCTTTTTTGACCAGGAATGTTAAAAAACCTATTATCCAGGTAGGTATTGCCCCCCCCCTTGTATAACCTATGTAATTAGAGCTTTTCTAATATATATAGGCCTATTTTTCCCCCATTTTAGTCTTAAAGAGCCCACAAGTCTTCAGTGTACTCACCTATTTGTGTCTGCAGGATCGAGCAGGTTCCTGCAGACACACATACTCTTGGATCCCGCCTTTCGAGCATCGGTTGTTTACAGCAATGACTACGGTCCTATTTCCCATAGTGAGTGTGTTCCATTGAGTGGGGAAATTGGCTGTGTGTGTCACCCCATTTCAAGAGAAAAATGGGTGTTTTGAACAGCTGTTGTTGTTTCATATTTAGCTACTCAGAACGAAGTGTCCCATGTAGCACGGGCTATGGCGAGCCCGTAAAAGTTCTGGACAGTGTTCCTGGGAAGGTGATGGTTGTGGGGGGGGGGGGAGGGTTATCTTCCACAGGTAGATATCTCCACTATCCACCGCAGGGAACCCTCGCTATCCACCACAGGGAACACCTCGCTATCCACCGCAGGGAACACCTCGCTATCCACCGCAGGGAACACCTCGCTATCCACCGCAGGGAACACCTCGCTATCCACCGCAGGGAACACCTCGCTATCCACCGCAGGGAACACCTCGCTATCCACCGCAGGGAACACCTCGCTATCCACCGCAGGGAACACCTCGCTATCCACCGCAGGGAACACCTCGCTATCCACCGCAGGGAACACCTCGCTATCCACCGCAGGGAACACCTCGCTATCCACCGCAGGGAACACCTCGCTATCCACCGCAGGGAACACCTCGCTATCCACCGCAGGGAACACCTCGCTATCCACCGCAGGGAACACCTCGCTATCCACCGCAGGGAACACCTCGCTATCCACCGCAGGGAACACCTCGCTATCCACCGCAGGGAACACCTCGCTATCCACCGCAGGGAACACCTCGCTATCCACCGCAGGGAACACCTCGCTATCCACCGCAGGGAACACCTCGCTATCCACCGCAGGGAACACCTCGCTATCCACCGCAGGGAACACCTCGCTATCCACCGCAGGGAACACCTCGCTATCCACCGCAGGGAACACCTCGCTATCCACCGCAGGGAACACCTCGCTATCCACCGCAGGGAACTTCCAGGTAGCCCGTTGCCTTGTGGGATGGGACGGGTGGCAGGTTGAGGGACGGGGAGTGTAGGGACGTAGGGGTAAAAGTGGGATGGAAGGGAGAGGGAAAATGAGGGATAGAAGGAATAGAAGCCTTAGCGATGCAGCTATGAGGAAACCATCACAAGGAGGAAACTAATTGGAAACTCAGTCGATTAAGGCAGCGTCTGGGATGCCCCCGGACGCAGGTTCGAATCCTCGTCACGGCCCTTGTGGATGTGTTCATTTAATTGGGGAAGGAAGGAAGTAACTATCAGGGGGGAAAGCGCCAAGCCATTACGACTATATAGCACTTGGAAGGGGTCAGGATAAGGATTTGGGATGGGACGGGGGGAAGGAATGGTGTCCAACCACTTGGACGGTCGGGGATTGAACGCCGACCTGCATGAAGCGAGACCGTCGGTCTACCGTCCAGCCCAAGTGATTGGACATTTAATTGGGGAAAAAATGGTGTTGTACTATCCCCTGTGGTTCTTGTGCTGTGTCTGTGTTTAATTAATCCCTGGTCAGGGCGGATTGACTGGGCACCAGTCCGTAACTGTTACCGCCTTTCCCCCCCCCCCTCTCTGTTCACCCAACAGTAATTGGGGACCTGGTTGTTACCCAGTCTTGTAATCTAGGTGAAAAAGAGAGAAAGAAAGACTATTCCTGTACCCAGGCCTCGTCGAGGACCGGGCCGCGGGGACGCTAAGCCCCGAAATCAAGTTCATGTAAGAAAAATTACATCTCAAAGGGATTGAGTAGCTTAGGCTATATCTAACCCCCCTAAGGTAATCTCTAATATTTTGTTATTAATTCTTATTAATCGGTTTGCAATCGTTGTAATTTAAAGAGGGGGGGGGGTCGAGGGGGTTATGGGGGGGGGGGTGAGCAGGTGTGACGTCACGTGACCCTAAATGTAACAAAACGTTCCAAGTAGCACGGGCTATGGTGAGCCCGTGTACGGATGTGGAGACTGGGCCTCGGGCTTGGGGAAGGTAGCAGCGGCTCCTAGAACACTGTTCAGGTATGGTACTGGTGTGATGGCGTGACCTTTGTGTGATCTAACCCTTGTCGCCTCCTACAGGTGTCTAGCACATGTGTTTTTTTATGTACTACACTACATGTGTGAGATGGTTTGTCTTGAAGGTTTTCCTTACACCATCTTATCTTCTTCCTTCCTTTTCTTATCCTTCCTTATCCTTATCTTATCCTTCCTTTCCTCCCCTCCCTCCCGGAGGAGGTAGTTGGGGGGGGGGAGTAAATTTTTATGCAAATTACTGGTTGTTAGAGATAGACAAATCGGGAACAATTGGCAACAATCAAGTGTCATATGACAGGTCTGACACGATAATAGAGGGTGTCAAACGGCAAAATTGTATGGCAACCTTGTGTGTGTGTGTGTGTGTGTGTGTGTGTGTGTGTGTGTGTGTGTGTGTGTGTGTACTCACCTATTTGTACTCCCTTATTTGTGCTTGCAGGATCGAGCATTGACTCTTTGATCCCGCCTTTCGAGCATCGGTTGTTTACAGCAATGACTCCGGTCCTATTTCCCTATCATACCTGGTTTTAAAATTATGAATAGTATTTGCTTCCACAACCTGTTCCTGAAGTGCATTCCATTTTCCTACTGTACTCACCTAGTTGTGCTTGCGGGGGTTGAGCTCTGGCTCTTTGGTCCCGCCTCTCAACCGTCAATCAACAGGTGTACAGATTCCTGAGCCTATTGGGTTCTATCATATCTACACTTGAAACTGTGTATGGAGTCAGCCTCCACCACATCACCCCCTAATGCATTCCATTTGTCAACCACTCTGACACTAAAAAAGTTCTTTCTAATATCTCTGTGGCTCATTTGGGCACTCAGTTTCCACCTGTGTCCCCTAGTGCGTGCGTCTGCGTGTGTGTGTGTGTGTGGGGGGGGGGGGAGGGGGACAACTTCACTGTGTTTTAAGAGTAGTGAAGCCAGTGGAGGCCTGGTCGAGGACCGGGCCGCGAGGACACTAAAAAAAAGCCCCGAAATCATCTCAAGATAAGCCCCTCGAGAGAGACAGTTAGATCCCACACTATTCAACATCTTCATGAACGACCTTGTTCATAGTGAGATTCCGGAAGGAACACAAACGTCTCAGTCAGATTTACGGGCTCACCATAGCCCGTGCTACATGGACACTCCGTCCTGAATAGCTAAATCTTTAACAACAACAACAACAACTCAGATAATGTCTCGACTTTTAAGACCCACATTTGGAAAAATCCCTTGGGAGTAGAGGGGAAAGAGGGGGGGGAGTGGTATAGAGGGGGAGGGAGAGAATAGATAGATGTAAGAGTTAAGCCACCCCCAAGAGGTGGCACGGGCATGAATAACCCGTAAGTGATAGATCTTTTTGAGTGAATGTGGGAGTGGGGGATTGTGATGGGTTGGGGGGAGGTTGTGGGAGTACTAGTATAAGGGGGGAAGGGGGGGGAGGGGTAGGAAGGGGGCGAGGGAGGATGCTGTGTGCTGAGATGACAATGTCCAGACGCAGCATCCTGGCGCCGTCTTGGTCATGCGCACCATTCACTGCTGTTTATTATTGAAGTCTGCCTGTCCCGCCTCTCCTCCCTCCCTCTATCCTTCCCCCCTCTCTCTCCCCCTCTATCCTTCCCCTCCCTCTCTCCCCCCTCTATCCTTCCCCTCCCTCTCTCCCCCCTCTATCCTTCCCCTCCCTCTCTCCCCCCTCTATCCTTCCCCCCTCTATCCTTCCCTTCCCTCTCTCCCCCCTCTATCCTTCCCCTCCCTCTCTCCCCCTCTATCCTTCCCCTCCCTCTCTCCCCCCTCTATCCTTCCCCTCCCTCTCTCCCCCTCTATCCTTCCCCTCTCTCTCTCTCCCTCTCCCTCTATCCTTCCCCCTCTATCCTTCCCTTCCCTCTCTCCCCCCTCTATCCTTCCCCTCTCTCTCTCTCCCTCTATCCTTCCCCTCTCTCTCTCTCCCTCTATCCTTCCCCTCGTCTGTCTGTCGTTGATGCAGGAGGGAAATGGAGAGGAGAGATGGAAGGGACAGGAGGAAGTGCTGACGTAACAGACGTTTCGGACACGAAACGTTCCTGGAACAATCCCCAGCCCATCCAAATGGTTGTGCTCTTCAAGGCACTTGTGTTGTCCCCTCTTGAGTACTGCTCAGTACTCACTTCCCCCTTCAAAGCAGGAGAGATTGCTGAAATAGAGGGAATACAGAGAACATATACGGCACGCATAGACGCAATAAAGCACCTAAATTATTGGGATCGTCTCAAAGCCCTCCAAATGTACTCACTAGAAAGAAGACGAGAGAGATATCAAATAATATACACCTGGAAGATACTGGAGGGCCAAGTACCAAATCTACACAGTAAAATAACAACGTACTGGAGTGAACGACATGGAAGAAAATGTAGAATAGAACCAATGAAGAGCAGAGGTGTCATAGGCACAATCAGAGAACACTGTATAAACATCAGAGGTCCGCGGTTGTTCAACGTCCTCCCAGCAAGCATAAGAAATATTGCCGGAACAACCGTGGACATTTTCAAGAGGAAACTAGATTTATTCCTCCAAGGAGTGCCGGACCAACCGGGCTGTGGTGGGTATGTGGGCCTGCGGGCCGCTCCAAGCAACAGCCTGGTGGACCAAACTCTCACAAGTCGAGCCTGGCCTCGGGCCGGGCTTGGGGAGTAGACGAACTCCCAGAACCCCATCAACCAGGTATCAACCAGGTATCATACACACAACTCGTGTTGAACATTAGAATAAACGTACAAGTATAGTAAATTTATAACGCAGCGGGTACAAGGTTAGTAGGCGGGGTATCAAGAGCCGTAGTCCAGATGCTGGGGGGGGGGGGGGAAGATAGAGCACAGAGGTAAACTGGACTTCGACGCGTCATCACACAGGTCTAGTAGAAAAAAATGATTGATAGAGATTAAGCCACCCAGAAGGTGGCATGGGCATGAATAGCCCATAAAAATTGATGCTGTTTGCTGTAAATTCTCACCTTGTTTTGCTTGCGGGGGGTTGGGCTTCGGTTGGGGTGCTGGGGTGAGGTAGGAATGTATGGGGTGGGGAGGGGGTTACGGGTAGGGGGGTAGGCGCAGCTGACAGATATATGCCAGCACCTATCGGTCACTGCGGGGGGGGGGGAGAAAGGGGCAGGGGGGGTAGACTCGAGCACTGTACTGTGTTTATTTACAGACCCCAAGTTCATGGCCCCGAGCAAAGAACATTGGCCTTACTTAGCCCCGTCGGAAGACACATAGTCGCGATACATCCTTGGGCAGAAGTCTCTCTCTTTAAGATCCATTGTTCCTGCCAGGTAAAACAATTGAACGAAAATATGCTTTAATTCAAGGGGATTACACACCAAAGTTGTAAGCCACTGTGACTAAGGCTTTGGGGAGGGGGAAATAAGCCATATGTAGTGCGTACATAAGACTCTCAAAGACGGGGGAGGCTTCCTGGTGTTAATTCCTTATCGCTTTCACAAACTTCAAGGGACCCCACATTCGTCCTTGTAGGATCAGTCCCTTGAGAATGCTATACGAGCGGCTCCTCTCTCGAGGTCGACTTCACAAAAGATTATCATCTCTATGATGTGGTGTATTAAGAATGACATTGCTTTGTCAGTCACTGGGGTTTATAAAGGCCGTTGACCTGACCTCAAGGTAAGGTCAAAGTGACATGAACAAATCCACAAGGGCCGTGACGAGGATTCGAACCTGCGTCCGGGAGCATCCCAGACACGGTCAAGGTCACCTATCATACTGGGAGACTTGACCTCACTGTCGCAGATAAAAGGAAATTTTAGGAAGGAAAAAAGGGGACTTTTAATATTTACACTCAGGGTCTCTACAAGGTCTTCAGACATTTTCTGACTCCTTTGAATGGCATTCCTTCCGAATGGGAGCCGGTCGGCCGAGCGGACAGCACACGGGACTTGTGATCCTGTGGTCCTGGGATCGATCCCCGGCGCCGGCGAGAAACAATGGGCAGAGTTTCTTTCACCCTATGTCCCTGTTACCTATCAGTAAAATAGGTACCTGGGTGTTAGTCAGCTGTCACGGGCTGCTTCCTAGGGGGTGGAGGCCTGGTCGAGGACCGGGCCGTGGGGACACTAAAGCCCCGAAATCATCTCAAGATAACCTCAAGAAGGTACCTGGGTGTTAGTCAGCTGTCTTGGGCTGCTTCCTGGGGGTGGAGGCCTGGTCGAGGACCGGGCCGTGGGGACACTAAAGCCCCGAAATCATCTCAAGATAACCTCAAGATAACCTTTTAGCGTGAGGTCTCAAGTTGGCATAATGGGAAAGGTCGGAAGTTATTTTGACTTGTGTTAAACGCTCGTGTTTTCCCTCGACAAGAATTCCTGCACCTTTCAGTGTGTTTAAGAATGTTGAAAAGAATTGGTGGCGGGAGTCGACCTCTCCTCGACCTGGTTGGTGGCGGGAGTCGACCTCTCCTCGACCTGGTTGGTGGCGGGAGTCGACCTCTCCTCGACCTGGTTGGTGGCGGGAGTCGACCTCTCCTCGACCTGGTTGGTGGCGGGAGTCGACCTCTCCTCGACCTGGTTGGTGGCGGGAGTCGACCTCTCCTCGACCTGGTTGGTGGCGGGAGTCGACCTCTCCTCGACCTGGTTGGTGGCGGGAGTCGACCTCTCCTCGACCTGGTTGGTGGCGGGAGTCGACCTCTCCTCGACCTGGTTGGTGGCGGGAGTCGACCTCTCCTCGACCTGGTTGGTGGCGGGAGTCGACCTCTCCTCGACCTGGTTGGTGGCGGGAGTCGACCTCTCCTCGACCTGGTTGGTGGCGGGAGTCGACCTCTCCTCGACCTGGTTGGTGGCGGGAGTCGACCTCTCCTCGACCTGGTTGGTGGCGGGAGTCGACCTCTCCTCGACCTGGTTGGTGGCGGGAGTCGACCTCTCCTCGACCTGGTTGGTGGCGGGAGTCGACCTCTCCTCGACCTGGTTGGTGGCGGGAGTCGACCTCTCCTCGACCTGGTTGGTGGCGGGAGTCGACCTCTCCTCGACCTGGTTGGTGGCGGGAGTCGACCTCTCCTCGACCTGGTTGGTGGCGGGAGTCGACCTCTCCTCGACCTGGTTGGTGGCGGGAGTCGACCTCTCCTCGACCTGGTTGGTGGCGGGAGTCGACCTCTCCTCGACCTGGTTGGTGGCGGGAGTCGACCTCTCCTCGACCTGGTTGGTGGCGGGAGTCGACCTCTCCTCGACCTGGTTGGTGGCGGGAGTCGACCTCTCCTCGACCTGGTTGGTGGTGGCTCTGGCACTCTCGCTCTCAAGTGTTCTCGGATAGTCCCGGCTTGCTTCCGGCTTCCTGTTTCTGCTGTTACTGTCGTGTTGGTGTCGAGGCTGTTTGTGCTGCTGCTGTTGTGGTGTGGGGGGGTTGCTGTTGTGGGGGGGGGGTAGCTGATGCGGGGGGTATGCTGCTGCTGCTGTTGTGGGGGGGGAGGGTTGCTGTTGTGGGGAGGGGGTAGCTGATGTGGGGGGTATGCTGCTGCTGCTGTTGTCGGGGGGGGGGGGGGGTGAGGGTTGCTGCTGTTGTGGGGGGAGGGGGTGAGGTTAGCTGCTGCTGGGGGGGGGGAGGTTAGTTGCTGTTGTGGGGGGGGAGGGGGGTTTAGCTGCTGTTGTGGGGGGAGGGGTGAGGTTAGCTGCTTTTGTGGGAGGGGGGGGAATGCTGTTATTTTGGGAAGAGCCGTGATGGCTTGTCGCTTCCCCCCTTCCCCTGACAATTCCCTTCCCTCCCTGTACTCACCTGGTTGTACTTACCTAGTTGTGCTTGCGGGGGGGTTGAGCTCTGGCTCTTTGGTCCCGCCTCTCGGCTGTCAGTCAACTGGTGAACAGATCCCGTGTCAGCCAGCGCTTGTCACCATCGCCATATCCCCTCTCCCATACGTTTCCTGACGTATTCGTGTACGTCGTCAGGCGGTGTCGTACGAGGAGACGCCGTCTTAAGAGGTCGTAAGAGAGCCAGGAGCTCGCTCACGAACGGTACTTACGAACCGTTAATGTTCTCCGTTGTATTTTTTTTTTTAACCAAGAACGGGAAGCTTTGCCGCCATGTTGTGTCTCCTGCATGATACACGACCGTTCTTGTAGTTACAATATTAGTAACTGTTGCAATTGCAGCACTTTAAACTGTCTTTTGCCATTTTTGATCACCGGTGTTTTTTTAGTGGCGCTCGCCTAGACGGCTGCTTGTGGCGTTAAACTGTCTTTTGCCATTTTTGATCGCCGGTGTTTTCTAGTGGCGCTCGCCTAGACGGCTGCTTGTGGCGTTAAACTGTCTTTTGCCATTTTTGATCGCCGGTGTTTTCTAGTGGCGCTCGCCTAGACGGCTGCTTGTGGCGTTAAACTGTCTTTTGCCATTTTTGATCGCCGGTGTTTTCTAGTGGCGCTCGCCTAGACGGCTGCTTGTGGCGTTTGAGAGTCTTGATGTGTCATCAGTTGCAGATGTGGGGGAGAGGGGAGGGGAGGGGGGGGGGGGGAGATGGGGGGATTTGGCAGGTCCAACCGGGTACTTCTTGCTTGTTTTTTTTGTTACGTTAATTTTAATTAGCGGTTGTTATTGCTACTGGACGTAAAACAGGTTTTTATTTTAATTACCTTTCTTCAGGTGTGTCTTTCTGCCTTGTATGGTTACAAAGGTGTTAGAGGTAAGACGCATTGGTGCATGCTGAGCCGCTGAACATTGGTGCATGCTGAGCCGTTGACCATTGGTGCATGCTGAGCCGTTGACCATTGGTGCATGCTGAGCCGTTGACCATTGGTGCATGCTGAGCCGTTGACCATTGGTGCATGCTGAGCCGTTGAACACTGATACATGCTGAGCCGTTGAACACTGATACATGCTGAGCCGTTGAACACTGATACATGCTGAGCCGTTGAACACTGATACATGCTGAGCCGTTGAACACTGGTGCATGCTGAGCCGTTGAACACTGATACATGCTGAGCCGTTGAACACTGATACATGCTGAGCCGTTGAACACTGATACATGCTGAGCCGTTGAACACTGATACATGCTGAGCCGTTGAACACTGATACATGCTGAGCCGTTGAACACTGATACATGCTGAGCCGTTGAACACTGATACATGCTGAGCCGTTGAACACTGGTGCATGCTGAGCCGTTGAACATTGGTGCATGCTGAGCCGTTGAACACTGATACATGCTGAGCCGTTGAACATTGGTGCATGCTGAGCCGTTGAACACTGATACATGCTGAGCCGTTGAACACTGATACATGCTGAGCCGTTGAACACTGATACATGCTGAGCCGTTGAACACTGATACATGCTGAGCCGTTGAACACTATACATGCTGAGCCGTTGAACACTGATACATGCTGAGCCGTTGAACACTGATACATGCTGAGCCGTTGAACACTGATACATGCTGAGCCGTTGAACACTGATACATGCTGAGCCGCTGAACACTGATACATGCTGAGCCGCTGAACACTGATACATGCTGAGCCGCTGAACACTGATACATGCTGAGCCGCTGAACACTGATACATGCTGAGCCGCTGAACACTGATACATGCTGAGCCGCTGAACACTGATACATGCTGAGCCGCTGAACACTGATACATGCTGAGCCGCTGAACACTGATACATGCTGAGCCGCTGAACACTGATACATGCTGAGCCGCTGAACACTGATACATGCTGAGCCGCTGAACACTGATACATGCTGAGCCGCTGAACACTGATACATGCTGAGCCGCTGAACACTGATACATGCTGAGCCGCTGAACACTGATACATGCTGAGCCGCTGAACACTGATACATGCTGAGCCGCTGAACACTGATACATGCTGAGCCGCTGAACACTGATACATGCTGAGCCGCTGAACACTGATACATGCTGAGCCGCTGAACACTGATACATGCTGAGCCGCTGAACACTGATACATGCTGAGCCGCTGAACACTGATACATGCTGAGCCGCTGAACACTGATACATGCTGAGCCGCTGAACACTGATACATGCTGAGCCGCTGAACACTGATACATGCTGAGCCGCTGAACACTGATACATGCTGAGCCGCTGAACACTGATACATGCTGAGCCGCTGAACACTGGTGCATGCTGAGCCGCTGAACACTGGTGCATGCTGAGCCGCTGAACACTGGTGCATGCTGAGCCGCTGAACACTGATACATGCTGAGCCGTTGAACACTGATACATGCTGAGCTTAGAATGGCACAAAATTCGCCGTATTGGGAGACTGTTGCCGAAGTTGGAGTAAACTGCTTCTGGTCTGTTGGAAGAAGAATGTAATTACTGGCGTAGAACGACAGATTGGCCAGTATCCTTGTTGTTGTGGGAGGGGCTAAGGTTCCCTCCCTCTCCCCTTCCATGGGGTTCAGTTCCTGAGGTCATGTGTGTCTCTCTGACCTCTTCCATGACCATCCACAGGATGGGTATGGGGTGCATAATAAGTTAAAAAATGTGTGTGTGAAATCTCGGTCATGGCCCCTTCCCACTTCCCTCCTTTCTTCCCTACCCATTAACCTTGTCCTGTTCCTGGTGGAAGCGTGACCTCTGACCTCGTGACCTCATTAGGACATTGTTAGGAATGGGAAGGGAAGTAAATGGTTGGAAAGGTTACATTGTTAGGAATGGGAAGGGAAGTAAATGGTTGGAAAGGTTAGGGGAGGGGAGGGATTAGTACCTGGTTGATACCTGGTTGATGGGGTTCTGGGAGTTCTTCTACTCCCCAAGCCCGGCAGTGTTACATTGAGAGAAGTAATGGTGTGTGGTTGGCGGTGGCGTGATGGGCAGGCGCCGGGTCATTGGCGTAATGCGAGTAACAAATGAAGGTCAACGGGCGGGAAGAGGTGCATAGAAGGAGCCGACACTGGTGCCGAGGTGTGTGATGATGGCTGTAACGCCCTAGTGTGTCCCCCGGCCGCTGGTGGCGCTGCCGGCAGCCCGTCAGCCCAGGAAGTCCTACTTGAACCTCTTATTTGTGATATTAAATCCTCCTTGAAGCGGAATTGGCTGGTATTGGACCTTATTTATTTTGATTCTAACTTTCATTTGAGGATTAGTTTTAAAAATAGCAAACTTTTATGACTGGAGGGTGGGGGGGTAGGGTTGAATTACCGAATCTCTTGATTAGATTAACTATTCAATTGCTTGTTGGTGTGGTTTGATAGTTTTAAGTTCATATTAACGGGCATTTTCTTATTATTTTCAGTTCTGTAACTTTGTTCTCGATTCATTTATACTTTGATTTTTTGTTTCTAATAGGCCAAATTTTGATTTTAATCGTGGATCGTGCGATGGCAGCATTTTTGTATGAAGCATTTTGTGCACATGTGGAGGGCGGGACACCTGGTTTATTGACCACCAGATGGCGTTTATGAGGGGGCGCCGTGATCCTGGGGGGTGGGGGGGGGATGTCTAGATGGACCAAGTGATGACTTTGGGTTCCTTTCACTGCCTTCCTTCAGCAATTCTCCCTGCCATCTCTGGCCGCCGTCCCTAAATATCCCTAAAAATTCCCCCTAGTTGAATTCCCTTTGGTTCTTAATCCAAACATCTTCCCCCGCCGCTCTTGTGTTTTTTCTCATTTATTGCATCTTGCTTCATTCCTCTCCCTTTCTGCCGTCCCTCTCTGTCCTCCCCCCCGCACCCCCCTCTCACTCTCCCCTCTCACTCTCCCCTCTCACTCTCTCCTCTCCTCTCCCGGTTCGGTTCCAACTGGAGGAAGTATGGCCAGAAAAATTCTTTAATCAATCACCAGACTTCTCATTTCGATTTCTTTAGGAAGTTTTCAAGGGATGAATTATAGCTATTTGCTTGTTTGTAGGAGAGAGAGGGGGGGGGGTAGTGAGGAGACAGTTATGATGTGTTAATATCCACCATGTGTTCATATGTGTGGATTATTAACACATATGGAGCTCGTTCACCTACTTGAGGTGATTCAGAGGATCACCGTCTTATAATTCCGTAGACAATTACCTGTTGATTGACGGTTGAGAGGCGGGACCAAAGAGCCAGAGCTCAACCCCCGCAAGCACAACTAGGTGAGTGCAAACTAACCCCTTGTTGTCTCCTTGCGTTTACAAATTGGTTTGTTTACATTTGGGTATAATATATCAACTGATCCAGTGGTTAATCAGGATGATTTACCGGTTGCAATTCTTTTAACCATGTCGTAGCTCCGTCGATTAAGGCAGCGTCTGGGATCCTCTCGGACGCAGGTTCGAACCCTCGTCACGGCCCCTTGTGGACTTGTTCATATCGAGCAACGTTACTTACGCTCTAAATTAACGTACCGGCGTAGCTGCATATACATCTTCCTCTACCGGAAGGGAGCCGGTCGGCCGAGCGGACAGCACGCTGGACTTGTGGTCCTGGGTTCGATCCCGGGCGCCGGCGAGAAACAATGGTCAGAGGTTCTTTCATCCTATGCCCCTGTTACCTAGCAGTAAAATAGGTACCTGGGTGTTAGTCAGCTGTCACGGGCTGCTTCCTGGGGGTGGAGGCCTGGTCGAGGACCGGGCCGCGGGGACACTAAAGCCCCGAAATCATCTCAAGATAACCTCAAGATAACCCTATAGTTGTTGATATCCAACCCTGTTTTGTGAAGTTAATGGTCTTGCCTATCAGTGCGGAGGGGGTTCTTAAGGATGTTTGCTGGGTCTGACTGACAGACGCATCAAGCAAACTGACGTACAGACGTCTGTTTCCGTTGTAACCGCTCGTTTCAACGGTCATCCGTTGTGGCGGAGGAGTGGTTGTAACGGGACGTCCGGTAGCCGAATATCCGCTTGGCTCAGTGCAAGATCATAACCTGTCAAGTAAATGCCAATGTACGATAGTTCGGCGGCCTTGACCGTGGAGTTGTAATATCTGCGACGGTTAGCTTAATGTACGTGTTCACTAGCGCTGCTGTTTCTGTTGCTGCTGCTGCTGTTGCTGCTGCTGTTGCTGTTGCTGGTGCTGTTGCTGCTGCTGCTGCTGCTGCTGTTGCTGTTGCTGTTGCTGCTGCTGCTGCTGCTGTTGCTGCTGTTGCTGCTGCTGTTGCTGCTGCTGCTGTTGCTGTTGCTGCTGCTGCTGCTGCTGCTGCTGCTGTAGAACACCTGACGTCGTAGAGGAAGACCACTCAAACCCAGCCCATCACGATAACAGATTGAGTTACGCTGTGCTTGGTGTGAGCAGTGTGAGCACGCAGTCACACTGGAGACGACGATGCTTTGCTGATTGCAAGACGTTGATGTTGTTC